CCACTTATCCATGAAAGCTCGCTTGAGTCTTAGGACGGTAGGAGAGTCTTGGGCCCCATAAAGAAGGCATCGTCAACATAGACTACGGCAATGCAGAAATTGCCATCTTTGTTGTAGACGAATATACCAGCGTCTGACACAAGGCGTTTAAAGCCTAGGTCGGCCATGGACCGGTCGAGGGCTTTCCACCAAGCTAACCCTGCCTGTTTAAGTCCGTAGAGCGCGCGGCGAAGCTGGAAAACCATGTTTTCGCGCCCTGGCTCTTTAAAGCCTTCAGGTTGCTCCATGTATATTTCTTCGTCGAGATTGCCATATAAGTAGGCATTTCGCACATCAACGGCATGAATTTGCCAGTTTTCAAGTGCGCATAGTGCAAACATCATTCGCACTGTCTCAAAACGAACTACAGGTGAGAAGACTTCATTGAAGTCGATTCCTTCAACCTGGGAGAAACCTTTGGCTACAAGCCTAGCCTTTTTCCGACCATCGGATTTGATGTCGAAAACCCATCGGTTTTTAATGACCTTTCGGTCTCGTGGGCGATCAACCAGGTCATAGACCTTGCGCTTCCGGAGAGCTTCAAGCTCATCACGGCATGCAGCACGCCATTCCTTCTGTTCAGCAGGTTTAAGCCGCTGAATATCGCGATATGTCCATTCTTTTACATTGGACTGATTGGGATTTCCGCCGAATAGTGGATATGCACGCAAAAGCAACGCTTCGACGAACTGTACTCCCCCCTCCTGGCATAGTTTTGCTAACCGAGCATCTCCTTCAGAATCAGATTCCGAGGATGGGGCTTTACTGGTGCTTTCGCGATAGCCAGTGAACGGTGTTTCCGGTGCAGATGGGTTGTCGCTTTTTCTCGGAGTCTGAGGTGGCAAACTAGGCACAGGAGCCGGTTCGTCCTCTGGTGGAGGCGATAATTCGCTCTCTATTATTTGCTTCCGAGAGACCTTGCGTGACGCTTTGCCTTTTCCTGGTGAGGATCCACCCTCTACCAAGTCTTTCCAGGCGCGTTCACGCTCAATCTGCTTGTATTGGGAAACAGGATGTTTCCTTTCACCGTATATATTGCCCTCTCGCTTCGGCACTTTCCTGAGACGACCGGATCTCCTTGGAGATTGCCATGGTTGTTCAGGCGGTACTGGGCTAGGAGTCCTCGACCGCTCTCTTTTGGGCGTCGAAGGAAGCTCAGGTGCCACGTCTGGCGCCTTGCCTTTCCCCTTTTCAGGAGTTATAGTGGGAATAGGAGCCGACGGAATTTCATCATCGTCGTCCCAAGGAACGGGTGGTTGACCCGATGGGTGGTTGGTGTCTTTGGATCGCGGACCTCCAATACGCGTGTTCTTCGTTTGCTTTTGCTTCGCACACTTAGGAAACAGTGTCTCATCAAACAACGCATGGGCAGATGTGAATATCACGTTATTGGGTAGGCGCATGAACTTGAAGTTCGTTTCCATACCATCCGCAACGCCGATGTATATCATAAGTTCAGACTTAGGTGACATTTTGTTCTTTCGAACGTCGGCGGGGAGGTGAACATATGCACCACATCCAAACACTCGCAAGTGATCGACTCGCGGTGGTCTACCATACAGAAACTCATACGGCGTCTTCCAGTTAAGGCGCACAACCGGAGTTCTGTTGTAGACATGTGTTGCATGCTCGACTGCAAAATTCCACCAGGATTCAGGCAAGCAAGCGTCAAAGCGCATTGACTCAGCCTTATCCATGAAGGTGCGCATATACCGCTCAGCACGACCATTCTGCTGTGGCGTGTGGGGTGCGCTCTGAAGAACTTTAATGCCGTTACTTTTAAAGTAGTCGTCCAAGGCTTTGGACTTATACTCTCCCCCTGCATCCGACATCCACTTCTCAACGGTCGAACTGAACTGGTTCTTGACCATTGCCATAAAGTGTTTAATTGCTGGTAGTGCCGCATCTTTAGTGCGCAGGCAAACTATCCAAGCAAACGAAGTGTAGTCATCCAAGAACGTTATCACATATTTATGCTTGTGATACGACTCAATTGGGAATGACTTGATGTCAGAGTGGATAAGTTCAAACACTCTTTCAGCGCGAACAGGGTGAGTAGGAAAGGGTCGCAAAGGCATTTTGCCTTGCGCGCAACCTCGGCATATATGTTCCTTGGTGGGTATCTCAACGGGTGTAAACCCGGAGACGTGTTTCCGAGCATGTCGAAGCACATCCTTTGAAGGATGAGCAAAACGACGGTGCCATGTCTGGTAATCCAGAGCATAGACCATGTCGACAACCTCCATTTCTTTGTCGGGGAGGGTCTGGACACCATAGATGGTATCACCCGATACACGAGGAGTGAACGTTAGAAACGATTCTCCTTGTTCAGTTAACACTCTTACTGCCTCTGAGTCACAGAGTGCAGTCATGTCGTTTTGCAGAAACTGGCCAAGAGAAAGCAGCCGCATATTAATGTCAGGCACAAGCTTTACTCCGGCAATCTGTACGGTATCCTTTTTGGTTTTCAGGATTACAGTCCCTTCGCCAATCATGTTGGTGTGGTTATTTGCCGTCGATATCCTTACCGGC